TGCTTCTCCTTAGGTGATCCACTTCAGGAGGGGCCCTGTGGCAGCAGGAGGGAGTCAGATCCGCTGCTGGAGGTTTGGCTCCGCAGAAGCGCAGAGTTGGGTGTTTGCGCGGAGGAGCGAGCAAGTTCCCTGGCAGGAACTGGTTCTCTTTGGGATTTTGGCTGGGGGATGGGCGGGGGAGATGGCGCTGGCGAGCGCCTCTGTTCCCCACCAAACTGAGCTCTGTCGTCCAGGGCTCAGCAGCTCTCCTTCCCTTTGTCCTCCAGCCTTCCCGCTTTCCGAGCAGAGCTGTTATCTTATGACCTCCCAGACGCTAAGTCGCGCTTGCTGTGGGAACACAGTCCGTCAGGCCCCTCCACTTTTTGCAAGCCAGACTCAGGGGCTCTGCTTGGCCGGGGAGCCGCCCCTCCGCCCCGGCTCCCTCCCGCCAGTCCGTGGAGCGCGCACCGCCTCGCTGCCCTTCCTACCCTCTTCCGTGGGCCTCTCGTCTGCGCTTGGCTCCAGTGACTCCGTTCTGCTAATCCTCTGGCGGTTTTCTGGGTTATTTAGGCAGGTGTAGGTGGAATCTAAGTGATCAGCAGGACGCGCGGTGAGCCCAGCGTCCTCCTACGCCGCCATCTTCCCTCTCTCCCCCAATTTTTAGTAGTTTAATAGGATTGAATGATCTTGGCTTGATGAGAAATACATGAGAGGCTGCAGAAATAATTGGCATGTCCTCACTTGCCTTCAGAATAGGATAATCACTCTTATTCTGATTGCCTTGCTTAGTTATTAGATATATGAAGTGGTCTACCCATCCTTTTGTGTGTATTCAACCTTGCCTCAGGCGTGGTGCAGACCATTTGCTTTGCTGCCCGTCTGGATGTACAAACACTCTGCTCACTTTACTGTAACTCTCATGGAGAGTTTCACTGTCGGCACCTTCTTCTCGGTCTCCCAGCCCTGATAGGACTGTAGCTGCCAAGTGATGTGGGCTGAAGCCAGGCTTAGGGTAGTGAGTGCTTGGGCCTCATTCCTCACCAGTTGCCTGGCCCTGCATCTATTGGTTGTGTTGGAATTGGAGCAAGAGCTTGTCACTGAATTAAGCAAGAATCTATCGTGGAGTTGTACTTTTTGTTTATTTGATTAGTTTTGATTTGGGAGAAAAATCCCCCTTATTAATGGATGATCTTGTCAGATCTTGAAAATTAGTTTTAAGTCCATGATTGTTGATTTTGATGACATCATTATTATTTTGGCCATGGATCAGGAAGAATGTTTAAATTAAGAAGCAGCCATAAAATAGTGGAGAGAAGAAGAGCTTTTTGGAGGTAGACACAGAGTACCGAGCTCTGGTACTTCCTGGCTGTGTGGCCTTAAGCAAATCACTTTGCCTTTCTGAGTCTCTTCCCTAATCTGTCACAGTCAGGAAAGGACAGGGTTGTCCTAAGAATCAGAGCAGGTTCATCTGGGATTTATGATCATCTGTTGACCTCCCAAGCCCTTTGTGGGATCTAAGGGAGGAGAAAAATGTGAAAGGTCTGGACAGCTCTACCAGGCAATGAAGTGGGCATCATCTTAATTCCATTCTAAAATTAAATGTGCCATCAAATTATTATTTGTTCACTTATGTAGACGTCTACAATTGCCAGATGCTTGATTTTAAAAATTTGAATAAGGAAAGTATTAAAGGGGACAGAAAATTTTGAGTTGCCATTATCCTTTTATCTTTTTCAAATTTTTCCTCTAACATATAGTTTTTTCTCTATCAGTAGATAACTTGGGTTGGCACAGTTCCTTCAAATGAGTTAAGTTTTATTTAGATATTTACCAAATAATGGTGTTTGTCAGAAATGATGTTTTAACCTGTTATCAGTGCTAAACAGGACCTTATGCTTGAAGTTCTCAAAGTATATCAGGAAACTTGGACCATGCTCCTTCTACTAGAAGTAGCATAGTATTTAAAATTACATAGTCCCCCAAGTGTGGTGAGTAGAGAAATGTAACAAGTGGCTGGCCAGGAAATGTATGTAAGAAAAGGAGTGGCTTATGAACACATGTATTTTTTTTTTTTACATAGTTTGATAAAACATGAATTTCAGCACTGGAAGAACTTTGGAGATGCTCTTATTCGGCTTTTTGCTTTTTATGAGAAAGAAAATGACTCCAGAAAAGCCAAGTAAATAGCCCAGGTCACAAATCAAGTTAGTGACAGAACCCAGAGTCTGGGGCTCTGCCTTTCCCTCCTCCTCTTCGAAAAGGGTAACTTATTCAAAGGGCATCCTGCCTTCGTGCACACAGGTGCCACCCCTTGCCCACACACTGTATGTTACCGTTTTGCTCTGGGTTCAGGTGTTGTCAGCAGAGACTTACGATGGGGACGATTCACCAGGTCTGTGTATACATGTTTGTGAGATTTGCTAAGATGAATTTTATAAGCTGTGGGAAGTCACTGTTCTGTGCTTGTTTTATAATTAGTCAACAAAGTGAAGCCAATGCAAGATTCCCAATACAGGGCGTCTTTTACCACACAAAAACTCTGCTTTTAATCTGAAGCTAGTGCTGTAACCAGACGTGAGACTGAATGCTGGTAACATTGCCAGTTTCTCCTTTTTCCCCTTACTCTGCTAAGATTATCTTTTTGAGCTACTATTTATTAATTTTATTGTGTATATGCGCTTTATGGTAATGCCCTCAAACTCATTTTGAAAAAAGGAGTGTAAAATTGAATAAACAGAAGATGGCATTATAATCACAATAAATAATACTTAATAAAATATTAGTAATAATGAATGATAAAATTATTTATTTTTTCTTTTGCGCTGTTCTTAATTTTAAAAAATTCATCCATCTTAGAATCAGATTGTAAGTATGAAAATTTAAAACCTTGTTTTCAATATATTTAATGATTTTAGCTCAACTTTCACATTTTTGCCCCTTTAAAAAGTATGGTAAACATGAATTGAAACACAGAGAAAAGGTACATTGCATAAGGAGTCACTTTAAGTATGATTTTTCAAGTGGTCAAAACAGGCCTGCATAATTACAGACTATTTTCTAGTTCTCAGAGTTTTCCTATGTGTATTTTATTTTTTTTTAATTTTTTTCTTAATGTTTATTTTTGAGAGAGAGAGAGACAGAGTGTCAGAGCACAAACAGGGGAGGGGCAGAGAGAGAGGGAGACACAGCATCGGAAGCAGGCTCCAGTCTTTGAGCTGTCAGCACTGAGCCTGGTACGGGGCTTGAACCCACGGACCACGAGATCACGACCTGAGCCAAAGTTGGACTGACTTAACCGACTGAGCCACTTACATATCCCCTCCTATGTGTATTTTAAAGAAAAATTTCTGTTTAATTAAAAAGCCAGCTTATCCCTATCCCATGCATAGGACAACCCCCATCAACTGCGGGGGTCTGTCTGCATCCGGGGTGGGCAGAAATATTTGCAGGTTGGCACCTTAACAAGAACATTAAGGTCTGACAATGGATTGGGGAAGTCACACAAACTTTGGGTATAAAGATGCCCTGTAGTAAGATTAAGAAAGCCTTTGGGGCTCACCTGACATGGACTTGGCACTTCTTTCAAGGGAGATGTATTTTGATGTGAATTTTAAAGGGTGTGGAATATCTGGGCAGAGAGAGGGAACTAGGCAATTTCAAGGTGAGGAGATATCCAGAATATGTGCACACTTGTCTGGTGGGGTTGCCCATGTGACCACTTGTAGTGCTGCAGACATAGGCTAGAGGAGGAACATGGAGAAGTGAGTAGACGCTCAAGGAAAGTGCTCTAATAGGGGAATGCAGACAATGGTGGGAATGGATGCCACTTACTAGAGGCTGGGTGGGGTGGCAGTCAGGGACACCTTGGAGGAAGTAATGTCCACATTGTGACTTGAAGAATGAGTGGGAGATAAAAAGCCAAAAAAGAAAGGAAGAGAGGAAGGAAAGCTACATGCAAAGGCCAGGAGCAGGAGAGACCAGGTCAAGGAACTGGAAGAATCTCAGTGGAAGTGCTGAATTCTTTTTACTATCATGCCTGCAGGTGACTGCAAGTAGAGCTGTCTAGTACCCAGATCAACAAGGTCAGGAAACCAAAGAGGTCTGGGCTAACCATGGAGACTCAGAGGAATTTTACAGGTGGTAACTAGAGCCACAAGAATGGGGACCAGAACCCCAGCAGAGATGGGGTGGCATAGGAAGGGAGAAAGCCAGAGCAGTTGGTGGAATAGGGAGATGAGGAGGTATACATGCAGTGAGTATGGGACATTCTTCCAAGAAGTTTGGCTTTAAATGTTCTAGCTAGAGGGAGGAATCTGGGGTCAAGGGAATTTTTTGTTTATTTTTCGTTTTTAAGATGAGGTAGACTTGGAGAATGTTTGAATGCTGATGGGGAGAAGCTGGGTTAGTAGGATAGATTGGAGAAAAAGGAGAGGCAGTGTTCATGGAAACACAAAGAGCAAGGAGGCGGTTCAGAGCAGAGGTGGGAACAAGCAGAGAGGAGCAGGAGACTCTCTTCACTTAAAGCCTGGAGGTGGAGGAGAAGCTGGGCAAACACATGGGGCTCGTGGGGCTTGTTTAATGGGTTTTATTTTCTCTTAAATCTGCAGTGAGTTCATCTGCTAGAAAGCAGGGAGGAGTTGGTGGAGCTGGAAGTTTACATAGAGGATGCTTTGTGAAGAGGATGCTAGAAGTAGCCACTGTAGAGAGTGAGAGAGAGCTGTCCAAGAAGCAGAATAGTTGTAGTACTGAGAGCTTTGTCTTCTTCCCGATTATGGCCAGGACCAGCCGCAGGCACTAGAGGGATTTTCAGTCAGGAGCTTTGTTCTTAATGGTAACTAATTTCTCATGAGCTCAGATCCTGGTTTCAGTTGATCAAATGAATTCTGAGAAACTAAAAGAAAAACAGGATCAAGTGCTTTTTATTGCTTTAAAGCTCATTTTAGTAATAGTAAAATATTTTGTTAAAAATTCTTCTTCCAAATGAGGACGATTAAAGTCTCTAATTGGCTGGTTGGTTTCAGACGCTCATGGTGGCGTGGATCCGAGCAAACCTCTGTGTATACATTTCTCGAGAGCTCTGGGATGACTTTCTTGGCGTGCTGTCCTCCCTCACGGAATGGGAGGAGCTCATAACTGAGTGGGCCAACATCATGGACTCGTTGACAGCAGTGCTCGCGAGAACTGTTTATGGAGTTGAGATGACAAACCTACCTCTGGACAAATTAAGTGAACAAAAGGAAAAGAAGCAGCGAGGCAAAGGTACTTCTACTCTTACAGGGTAACACCCGATGTCGGAGACTGGGGAGGAGTGTGTATTTGTACATGGAGGCAATTAACACATGGAATTTTACAATAAACTGAACCAGCCATGTGGGCAGTATCTTTTCACTGATGGTGTTGGATTGTGTTTCATAGCACGCTGACCTCTTAAGGATGCTGAAAGGGAGTAGCAGTGGTAGCAACAATAATATAATAATGGCTAGTGCTTGTACACATTATCTGTCTTCACCCTCATGGTAACCTCTGAGGTGGATACTATCATCCCCATGTCACAGACAGAGAAACTGAAGTACAGAGAGTCCATGGTGATGGACTCATTCAAGGTCATGTAGCTAATACGTGAGAAAGCCGGAAATCAAAGCTAGGCAAGTCCGTCTCAAGGCACCACACTAAAAGGACTTATTCCACTGCCTGCCTAGGAAAGGCAGAAAGTGGAAAATTTCTGAGTGATTCAGCTAGGAGGCCTTTTGGCTTTGTTGTGTTTCTGGGTAAAAATTGTTTTGAGACCTAGAGTCAGATCAAGGTTGAAAACATCAGTGGTGTTTTCTACTGGGGACAACAATTTGTTGTCATTACTGTTTTAAGGCTGTGACACAGTCCTTGGGTTAATTCACTTGTACTCCAATTTATTATTTAAAGATTTTGAGGCAGTTCATAGAAGCACCTATAATATGAGAGATAAAATACATAAGGTCACGGGGGCAAAATTAAAGGGGGTGGGATTATAGGAGCAGTTATAAATGCCAGAATGCATGCCAGAGAGCCTCCTCTGCTTGTTGGGGAGGGGTGGCAGGCTTGGACTTGACTCTGATCTTCACAGGGTTACAGCAGAGGATCACAGATTACAAAAGGTGAAAACAGTCCACAGCTTAGGTGATACATAGCTTTTCCTGGTCCTAAGACCTGAGAAGAATTTCTGCTCCAAAGATTCATGAAGTGTACGTTGCTTGCTGTAGTAGACCACAGCTTCAACAATAGCCTTATTATAGATTGTATCAGCTTTTGCTGGGTGACAGATCACCCCAAAACATAGCAGCTTAAAATAACAGTCAGTTGTTTAGATACTGATTTTATGAGTTGTTAGTTTGGGTTCGACTCAGTTGGGCAGTTCTGCTGGATTCACTCCTGTGTTTGTAGTCAGCTAGGCTGTGAAATAATCATGTAGGCAGCTCTAGGGATTGGCCAGCTGTCAGCTGGGGCCATGGGAGGGACTTGGCTGTATACCTTTCATCGCCCAGCAGGCCAGCTCAGGCTTTTTGTTCAAAGACTTAAGGTTCCAGGAGCAGCAATGGGGCAAGCCCAGATTTTCAAGTGCATTTCAGATCTCTGCTTGCTCAGTTTTGCTACCAAAGTAAGTCATGTGATGAAGCCCAGGGTCGGTGTGGGAGAGGACAGCAAAGGATGTGAATGTGGGGAGCTGTGAGCCAATTAAGTGATTACTTCACCATACAGACATACAGTTAACGTGACTGATTCTTACATCTTCACTGCAGTCTGTGAGTGGCTGTGTTTATTTATAGGAAGGTAAACACTTCAAAAAACACTCCTGATGGAATGATACAGAACGAATTTAATCATTTAATCAGTGCCCATGGCAAATACTTCTGATTTCTCTGTTATATTGCTTTATTCTAAAAATGGCTTTAAGTATTCACTGTGGAAATACTTGCCTTCTAAGCACTGGACTTGTGGAAACAAAATACACTCTCAGGAACCTGGGGGTGAAAACAAACCACAGTTTGTGGCAGCCACCAGCCACATCATACCTGTGCAGAAATCTCTGTCTCATTCTCTTTGCCCCTGTATTTCTTTTGGTACCTTGACTACTCATTTGAAATATTTGACCAGAGCAATATGAGAGGAAAGCAGACAAGTTGGGTTACAAACTGCAGTATTTTATTGTTTTGGAGGTTTGCTAAAATGGGATTTTGTATTATTCATAGATTTTCACTTGACTCTGATTAGAGTTTACAGACACAAATTTCTCTTGGTAATTTGTGGAGAGGTTAGCATCTCCAGGAGGGAGCATTATTCTAAAGCCAGGATCTCTCATTTTGTGGTTTATAAAAGTAGTTTTTGGAGTGACCGGACAGCAGTGGTATAACTTCATTTGACATTGTTCTTTTACTGAGAAAGTTTTATTGACATTTTTTTATATTGGAATGATATTATTGTTATGAGGCTGTTGGAGATGCTTGAAAAATACTTTGGCAACAGGAATTTCTAGATTACTGTTATGTGCAAACCTTCGTACTGAAGTATAAGGAAATGGTACCTATTATGCAACAAGAGAGTCTGTAATAAATATAATTGCACTTATGAAATTTGCTGAGCAACACAGGCTGTGCAATGAATGATAATGACTTCAGCCTTTAGATTATTTTTCTCGTCTTATCCTCTATCAGGTTGTGTTCTAGATTCTCAGAAAGGAACCACTGTGGGGAGATCCTTTTCTCTCAGCTGGCGGAGCCACCCAGATGTGACTGAACCAATGCGATCTAGGAGTGCCACCACATCTGGGGCACCAGGAGTTGAGAAGGCAAGAAATATTGTTCGCCAAAAAGCAACCGGTAAACATTTATTTAAATTTTTTCTGTAAGGTCTAGTTGCTATCTAAAATGGATTCATAGGAATAAAATGTTTTAAAGGTTTTAAAATTCCGCTCAGAGTTAAATGGGATGTCTCTGTATCTTTTAATTATCTGTTCTGATACTTTTCAAATCCATTTTTGATACTTATTTCTGAGTCCATTGTGAAAAAGAACTTGAGATGTTAATATTGAGTGAGATATTTGTGCAAAAGAGAGAAAATAAATGTTTTTGTTTGAACCTTAGAGAAAATAGATTCTTAGTAATCACACACTTAGTTGCATTATTGTTGTTGAACATTGGTAATCTTAGTGTGGCAACTGTTCCCACACAGGAAGAGAGAATAATGCACTTAGTTTTCAGGACTGGAGGGAGACATTTACGTTTTGGGGTTCTTTGGGAAATTGAGCTTTATATGCCTGTTGATGTTGTCCTCCTAGCCTGTTAGAATTAATAAGAACTTGACCAAGAACCCCCAGTTTTTTGGACTTATTTCCTACACTTTTAAAACCAAAAGAGAAATCTTTAAAAAGTAAGCTTGTATCCAGTATTTAATAAGAACAAATAAAACCCCTTCCCTCCAGTGACTCTGAGGCTGTAACTTAGGTTTAAAACAAATTTGAGTTTCCTGTCATTTTTCACATCAGTACTACCACACTGTTCTAATCGATATTCAGCATGCTGACTGCAGAAAGTCACAATATCCTCTGGTCATAAATCAGAGTCATTTACAGTCAACATATTTTACAGTACTTAGTAAACACTTCATAGAGATGGCTTAGAATCCTGTTGGAGCTTTTACGAAAATACATTGTGCCTTAGCCCTGTCTAATGCTTTTTGCTACAGCATTTGTTGGTAATTATCACCTTACTACATTCACCTCCTGTTCCACTTCTCCTGCTCTCTCCTTCATCCCCTTCCTTGAGGAGAGACTGTTCCTGGTAACAGGCAACTTTGGGGAAGGCTTACACACTGACTTTCATTCTCATCCCAACTCCTAGAAACTCCTTTCTTTCCTCATTGAATCAGAGCAGAAGTTTGCAACAAAGTGTCATCATTCCTGAACTGCCCAGACTCTATGCTACCCTTCGCAGCCCTTGAACTGTAATGATAATAAAATTAATCATGCAAAACACTATGTAAAACTTTACTTTCACACTTTAATGAGCAGCAAACTATTGTATATTGCATGCTCCTTATTCCCCTACTTGGCCAAAGCACAGCCATAGAAGAAATTGCATTTTAGTTTCTCAGCAGGTGTTTTAGACCAACACTATGGAGGTGGCACCATTATTGTTCTCAATAATCCTCGGTGCATTTATGCTAGTGAGCTTCTGTTTTATCAGTGTTCTTAGGCATCTGGCAACATATGGTATTGCATCAGTAAGAACTCTTACAAAAGTCTGTTTAGACTATGTTGCTTAAAAGTCATAAACCTGGCCTTTAGAGTATTAAAAATTAATAACACTTGGAACCATAACTTTTAAAAAGATAATGAGACAAGAGCTATTGAGTTGGATCAATCTATTATCTTCATGTATCTTGCAATACATATGTATTTCCTCTTTTACTTCACATTTTTATCTTTTTAGTTGCCTGTGAAAACAACGGTCTCTGAAGATTTTATTGTATCATGCTGTTTTATAAAACTAATCTATATAGACTATTAGTGGTTTTACTCAGTTCTGTTATTTTTACATTGTGTAATAACTTGCCTTTCCATCTTTTAAAAAGGCCCAGAATACTTTTATGGTAGGTGTTGATAGTGTGGAGGCCACCTTTTAATGTTTATTTATTTTTGAGACAGAGAGAGACAGAGCATGAACGGGGGAGGGTCAGAGAGAGGGAGACACAGAATCCGAAACAGGCTCCAGGCTCCGAGCCGTCAGCACAGAGCCTTACACGGGGCTCGAACTCACGGACCGCGAGATCGTGACCTGAGCCGAAGTCGGCCGCTCAACCGACTGAGCCACCCAGGCGCCCCAAGGCCACCTTTTAATGAGAATAGCAGCTCAGGCAGTTTTTGTCACCTTTAGCAGTAAGGTGTTTATCATGGAAGACCCATTTGAAAGTGATTTATTTTTTCTAATCCCAGTATGAGAATAATTTAAGATTATTATATTATAGGGGCGCCTGGGTGGCTCAGTCAGTTAAGTGTCCAGTTCTTGACTTTGGCTCATGTCATGGTCTCGCAGTTCTTGGTATGGAGCCCTGTGTTAGGCTTTTGCGCTGACAGCGTGGAGTCTGCTTGGGATCCTCTCTCTCCCTCTCTCTGCCCCTTGCCCCCACTCTCTCTCTTTCAGAATAAATAAATAAACATTAAAGGAAAAGATTATTATAACTTGCCTCAGTGACTACACTTAATCTAGATTAAGAAAATGATTGAGAAAATGTCAGTGATGGTGGCAAGACAGAAATAATAAAATAAGCAATTGCAGAGTAGAGAAAGAACAATGTAACAGAGAAGGAACTAGTTTGCAACTTAAAAGGAACTGGCAAGGAGAGTCTTAAAGAATTATAAAGGAAAACTTTGCTCCTGAGTGTGAATGATGCTAAAATTTTAGATGTCTAAAATGAGTGATTAAAGCAAGTCAGTTTCCACACAAAGTAATTATTATAATTATAATAATTATAAGTTTTATTATTTCTAAATATCTAGTGATCAGTTTTGGAAAAATACACATTTGATTCATAAAAGGAAAGCTCTTTCAGACGCCCTCTGACATTGAGAGATGAACACATCTTTTAGGAAATTTGAAGTAAGTCAGTTTGACATTCGCATGGAAGTCATTTGAAGTATCATCTTACCCATTTGTGAAGAGTGTGCTGTAATCCCATGGCAGGTAGTCCCTGTGGATTCCCTGTGGGAATCAGACCTGGGAATACTGACAACCAGAGGAGGGGGGGGTTTGAGGGGGGAGGGGCAAGGAAGTAAAAACTTTGTTTCACCCTCTGCAAATGTGTCATTACCATTTGTACTTGTATTCCGTGAATGTGAATAAAGTGATGTAAAAATAATAAAACAAGTCAACCTTTATATTTTAGTTTTAAGGATAAAACTGGTCCCACTGATGGTGGTTTCGTATATATGAGGCATATTCTCTTCCTGTGTTTATCTGTTTTCTCAAATGGTCATTTAAATAGTGGTCTGTAGAAAACTTGAGAACATCATAAAGTTCATCCTAAGAAATTATGGATTTAACAAGCATGAAATGTGATATACAAGGATGGGTTTCATGGAGATTTTTGCCTTTTTACCCTCAAATATCAAATCTTTTAATGTTCAACTTGACTTTCATGTGTTTCTGTGCTTTAGGATATTTAATTTACTAAATGATTTGCTTTTGAATACAGTCAGCTCTCAGTAAACCAATTTTTAAATTATTTATTATTTATAGAACAGTTTTAATCTTAGGCTAGATTTTCCCCTCCCTGCCTGTTGTCTTTTCATGTATGTGTCCTTTAGGAAGGGGAAATGGATTATAGTGTCTGCCCAAATAAACAACCCAAATGTGAGTGTGATACAAAGTGATACAGTGTGAGTGTCCATTCTCCCATGTCATCAGAATGACCGAAGGTTGGCTGTATTTAGAGACTACAGTTAAATACTCTACTTTGTACTGACCTCCTTTAAAGTTTAAAAGACCTTTTTTTAAATTTGAAAGAAAGCCCAGAAAAATAGCAATAAGTTAAAAAAGAAAAGAAAAGAAAAGAAGTGAAAGATCCTAATGTGCTTCTGACATAATTGTTACTTTATCTCTCCTGGAAGCTAAGCGAAGCCAGTCTATCAGCAACTGTGTCCACCTCTCTGAGGCTTTGCCTGCCACTAAAAGCGTCCCGCTCCTCCTTCACACCGTGAGCGCTCTCTTACCTGGTCTCTCTTACTCCTCTTGCTCTCACAGGCTGTCAGGTACTGTAACGCTGTCTCATGTGTCCGTCAGTGTCCCTGGGCTTCTCCTGCTTGCCTGTAGGCCTTGCTTCCTTTGTTAATACCCCCCACACTGCGCATGCGTGCCTGGCCATTGCACTTGGCATTTATTTTTGGTGAATATTAATAATTGTTTTTATGCAGTTAAATGTTTAGTAGCCATTAGTCAAGGAAAATTTCTGCAGCACCACTGGTCTTTGCTCTAGGACTTTTTGACCCATAGTTTCTACCAATGATGGGCACCTTCTGTACAATGCCTGCAGCACAAAAGTTTTGCTTGCTGTGCCTCCCCAAAATCAATAAACGGGAAAAATCATGTAGGCAATACCTCCTTGGGATTAATAAATTGTAATCATGTGTAAAGTAATAATGTTTATGTTTATCAGTCACACTGATTATTGATTTGAGTAGAAAAAAAAAGATGCTAAAAAGTGCTAATTTTCAAAACAAGGATTTTCAAAACATTTGTTTTGAAATGTAATTTTCAAAACATTGTTCTTGTGCTCCAGCGAATTAAAATTGAGTTCACCCACTTGTAGTTTGTACACAGTGTATTTTCTGGATTACTAAAACGTTATGGCATCAAAAATGGTGATTTTTGCCATAGACCCCTCAAAAAAAGGGTCTACTGTGCTCTGCAGTGAATAATTAGGCCTATGTCCAGTTACTGTTCAGAGATTCTAAAATGAACTGACTTTTCATGCTAAGAGGGATATGTTTTCATGTTCTTATTTTCAGAAAGATGGCATTGTAAATCAGTATTTACTATCGGAGATAGCCTGAGTGTGGCTTTCTGTAGCACTAAATCATGCCATATTGTATGATGATGTAGTGTAGTAAAGCATAATTAAATCTTACTTCCCCTGATGAGCATGTAAAGATGTCATATTATTTAATTCACAGAATATAAAGGAAGAAATTTGTTTCATTGAGACTACGGATTACACTTCTCAGAAAATACTTTTCTCTAGTAGATACCAAAGGTGAAAAGCAATACGAATGGTAACATGATCCCCAGTCAATTAAGTTACTGATGAACGTCAACTACTTGATAATCTGGTTGTCAAAAAAGTACTACTGCCTAGAGATGATTAATAAAGTATCTAAAATAGTTTTGTTTTCTTTTTGGCTGGTATATAGCTAATATACACCCAAAAGGCATTCTTTTCATGGTGAAAAGTTTTTGTTCTTCACAGTGCATTTTTTTCCCCATATTGTTTCCTTTGATCAAGGTTTCTACTAGTTTGTCCGGAATATTTTCTCTTAAGAAATCTATTTTTGTTCACAATCTCAGTTTGGAAACCTTTTTCTCATTCACTATTATATTTTAGTTTATTCAGATTCTTGATTCATACACACACACACACACACACACACACACACACACACACACACACAGAGTTCCAACAGAAGTTAAATATGATTTAGAACAGTGGTTCTCAACTGGGGATGATTTGGCCCCCCAGGGAACATTTTGGTTGTTACAGCTGGGGCGGTGCCTAAACACCGGCCCCTAGTGGGATGCTGCTGAACACCTGACAGTGGCTACACAGGACAGCCCCTACCATGAAGAATCGTCGGACCCAAAATATCAGTAGTGTTGAGGTTGAAAGACCCTGATTTGGGGTGAAGCAAAGCAGGCCATGCCAAGTCAGTATTTTCCTGCCTTTGCCATCTTTATTCCTGGTTTTATAGCATGAAGGGTAAAGGGACTTAGCCGTGTAGTGACACTGAGAACAGTCTGCTGTTCCTTGTGTTTTATCTGACAGCTACAGTAGTGAACTCCTCCTTAGTTCACTAAGGAAATGATGCCATTTCCCTTTGGAACTGTCCTGTCGAGAGACTAGGCCAGGAACAGTGCATATCAATCCTACTTTAGATTGTGCATTCTCACCGGTTGGCACATGAGAATATTAAATTTCTGCCCCAATTTAAATCCTAGTGTGTTGGCATATATTGCTTACCTATGGCTAAGTTTAGATATAGGTAGATGTATATCCACCTATACGTAGTATGCAGACACTTTTAATGTTGACTTTCTGGCCACAAGGTCTTTACTATAAAAATGATTGCTAATTTTGTTTTCATTTGTTAACATTTCTTATTTTTGTTTTTTGTCTATATGTAAAAATTGCTTTAATAATCTAAACAATAGAGGATTACTTACCTTCAGCCACGATTATATTTATTCTGGTCCCTTTGGGACTCTATTTGGTGGCAGCAGATTTTGGGGAAAGTAATAACCACCTGTATCCCATTTATATGAATAGCTACATACACACGTGGGAAGTAGAACTGGCAGTTTGGTGATTTTCCTTCCTCTCCTTTGTGAGAACAATGCTTTCCAGCTGTTTTGCAATTTTAACTGCTTTTATGTTGGGACATTTATCAGTCTGTAGTGCTTATAGGCCATGCTGATGATAGATTTTATTTTTCCTTTAGGGCCATTGTAGTTGTAGCAATTAGAGGTTCAGTGATCTTCTCTCATTCTAAAAGAGACTTAATGGTACCAAACTGAAAGCCTTGTTTGGCTGCTTCTGCCTCTGGTTGTCAGGCTTGCAGGTAGTATCCAATTGTCAGGAAGTGCTTGTTGTCAGGGTCTGGGCTGGTTCACCTTTGGACCTCCTAAGAAACCTCAAGATGTTGAGTTGACTTCTATCTCTTGTGCTTTTTAATAGGCTCAAGTTGGTGTTATGAACAATGCTTTTAAAAAGAAATTAAACTATTCATTTTGCCTTTGCAACCTTGTATGAGGGATAAATGGAACCCAGAATTTTGGTAATTGAAGAATGAGTCTCACTTCATTTAATAAGATTGATTAAGAAAGCCTTAGATTAAAGACTGAGTGAAATTGCTTTGAAAAGTGGTCAGACGTCTGGAATAAATAGAAGTTTCTAAAGACTTTGCACTCTTAATTTAATTTAATCATGTGAATTTTTCTCTCAGTGGGAAAAATGAAGTAATTCTAATTTGATCATTTTCCTGGTGTTTTGAGTGGAGCCTTTTTAGAAAGCAGTGATTTTGTAATGGTACTGTGTAGTTGACACTATCAAGAAGCTAGAAGGTTAGAACTTTTAAAATTTGAGTTATTAGGGTAGCAATGCTTGCGAGACAATGAATGATTTGGTGAATCTGAGATAGAATTTAGCTCTTTGAAGTGATTTGAACAAATTGTGTGGTACTCAAAACAGAGAATGTGTTAGACCTACCCAGAATTTATCATGTAATTTTTATATAACTTAGATTGTTCATGCTTTGAGTATCACATAATCCTGTATCTTGATATTTGCATATCAGTATTAAATGGTCTTAATTTGTTATGAAACAGCAACACTGTGGAACGGGAGCAGTTTTGACATTTGTCCCTTTCTTAACAAATAAAAAGCCAGCAGAGGGAGCTCAAGAGCTGTTTAAGAAAAGAAAAAGTATCAAGAAAATATTTTTGGTATTCATTTGTTCATTTATGCAAGGCATATATTGACTATATACTTAGTATAAAGTGTGAGAAAGGCCAAGAACTGTACATTTACAAATCAGAAAATTGGATTTTAATTGTGAGATAAGAATTTTAAATTCTTTTTCCACACTAGATCACTTAACAGTCAACTAACTATAGGAGTACCTCGGGGAACCAATAGCATAGCAGTCCTCACAGTATGCTTGACATTATGATTCTCCCCTTTCTTTCCACCCTCATCATGGATGCTCCCATCCTCACCATTTCTGGTGATTTCTGTGGGCTTGGACCTTCTCCATCAGAGAAGTCCCTACCAACAGTTTTACAAAAACAAAGCCTTAAAGCTGCATTAGGCCAGCCTGTTGGGAAGGCACACCAGCTGGTGATGGCAGGCTCTTCGTCCGTCTGTTGTGTTGAGGACCAGTGGGGACACTCGAATTTGGAAACCATGGTGCTGTGACTGTACGGTATCCCACCAGATGGCGATGTTCTTTATCTTTAAAAAGATGCTGCCAGTGTTGGCCTGGCTCTTATTTGCTTCTGCTCCTAGCCCAGAAACCAACATCTACCAGTTTTTGGCATCAAGTTTAAGTGAATAAAAGCCACTCTTCCCACTGTCCATAAAAACTGGTACTTGCCAATCATTTTTAGAGAATTAGGAAGCTCTTGGGCTCCCTCTACTGATATTAGATTAACAAGTAGGTTCATTAACGAATATAAACACTTCCCAGAAGGTTTCAGTATCTTGCATAATTAGAATAAACAATGAATGAAGGCAGCAGAGAGGGTCTGGTCTCATGGTATCATCTGGCTTCTGTTGCCTAATGCTGAGGAGCCTAGAAGCAGACCTGTGAAAGGGCCTAGTCTAAGCTTGCAGATGTGTGGGGAGATCACAAACATGTACACATGTCTTGTGTCTCTCTGTGGGAAAATGAACAGTTCTTGGCTATTCAAGAGAAGAGAAGGGCAAAGACAACCTGGAAGAGATGCGGCTTTAATGGGTCTGTGTGCTCTTGTCTTGCTACCTTGACTGTCTTTTGCTTATGCCCTAAGTTCAGCTTCCTGTCAGTGCCTAAATTTAGACTATGGCCCAGTATTCTGAATTATAAATGAAGGGTCACACAAACTTCATAGTTTTAAAGTCTCATTACATGTATCAGTGTACTTTAAAATAGAATTTTTGTTTGGATAGTAAAAATAAAGCAGCACCCTTCTCTTGAAGTCCTGTGTGTTACATGTAGAGTAATACATACATACAACTTGACTAGGGAGAGCCAGCACTTTGGCTTATCTTTGGAGTAAAGGGTTATACTGAGGGTGGCACAAGGGCAGTGAGCTTCATTTCAGGTGAGGAAGTGGTTGACACTGCCGGGTAAGATAATACAGGCTGAATTTTTATCTTAGAAGGAAGGAAACTTTAGCTAAATTAAAATTTTTAGAAAATATGTTACAGCTATGTAGATGTAAAGTTTTATGACTGTTGGAGTGAGTGTGGAGTCTGCTGAGGGACCACATGGCAAGTCCTGTAGGAGGGGTGTCCAGGTAGCAAGGGAGGGAGGAAAGGAGGCAGGAACAGGTCTGAGGGTAGTGTGGAAGAGTGAGCCGCAGAAAGGAGAGAGCAGTAGGTGCAGGTGGGCTAGGATTGCTGGAGACTAAAGTGAGTCAGAGCTCCTGTGGGGGATCAAATCTGTGGGGAGAGGTCAGGGGGAGCCCTATGTCCACTGTGAGGATCCCAGGCTTGGCTGTACAATGATGGGGGGCCTTGGCAAGAGAGAAGTGGTGCAGTCAGATCTTGGTTTTAGAGGGACCTCTCTGGAGCCACATAGAGAATAGAGAACTCATTCTCTGGGAGAATATAGTTTGTAATAATGCTAGCTGAGATTATCCAGTGGCCAGTACTCACCTATGGTTTTCTATTTTATAACAATTATGTATTAATTCTCCAAAAATGCCAGTGGATCATTTTTGTACTTTAATGATTAATTCAGCATTGCATTTGGTGGTAAAAGCTATTAAATAATTGTAGTATTTTATTTTGGACAGTTGTGCATTTATCTGTTGAAAGGAATGATAGAGTTGAAATTCCCATTTCCTTTTATCTTCCTATAAGAGAGTGTGTGTGTGCACGTGTGTGTGTGTGTGTGTGTGTGTGTGTGTGTGTGTGTCTTTCTACTCTCCTCAAATGTAAATTACCTATTCTGTGTATTTCCTGGTTCCCGCATTCCTTGGCATGCCCGGCTCTGAAATTCCAAGTGACTTTCACAGTTCTCAACCATTTCTGCAGCTTTTTCTCTTTTTTTTTCCTCCATTTTGAAAATAAAATGCTTTGCAGAACTTAAAACGTATTTTTAGAGTGGAATATTACTTGTTAACAAGTGTAGAAAGAAAACTTTAGTATGTAAATGCAGATTATCTTATTGTATAATTTTGGACCGGGGGGAAGTATCCCAGACTACATTTTTAGAATCAGTTGGTTCAAGTGGTGAAATTATTTTTAAAAATCTTTGAATACATCTCTGCATGTTTTGTGTTAATGCCCACAGAAGTGGAAGAATGTCAGCAATCAGAAAATGCACCTGCCATGGAATCTGGCTGCCTGGGGGCGGAGCAGCACATCATTCGTAGCAGCAGCACACCTGACGTCACTGAGCCGCCCCGCCCAGATTCCTCTCAGGGTATGAAGTAGCTGCAGTGGTTAAACAATACAGGACTGTGGATCCTGGCTGGGAAGGAGCTGCACGCCGTATTGCTTTCTGCGTTTATTCTAACCCCACTCAATTTATTTCAAGGAAACTTGCTTTTTAAGTTGATAGCAAGGATGTGATTTCTGGCAATGAAATATTTTCACTGTTTAATACACTTATCTAAAATTATATATACTTAGGTGCACCTCTTTTTTTTAATGCTTATTTATTTAGAGAGAGAGAGAGAGAGAGAGAGAGAGAACACAAGCAGACAAGCAGGGGAGGGTTAGAGACAGAGAAGACAGAATCTCCAGGCTCAGAGCTGCAAATGCAGAACCTGACGCGGGGCTCAAACCCACAAACTGTGAGATTGTGACCTGAGCCAAAGTCGGATCCTTAACCATCTGAGCCACCCGGGTGCCCCTAGGTGCACCTCTTTTAAGAGTAGCCTGTTTGAGGACTAGAGAGAAGTCCAGTGGTGGGTGGAGTAGGTGGGAAGCAGAGAATGTCACACCACAGGGTCCAGGCGAGCAGCAGAGTTAAGTAGGAGGCAGGGTAGGGGCATGCAAGAAAGGGTCTTGTGAGGAGAGCCATAAAAGTTGACAGTGAGAATGGAGGGCTGGCTGGACTTGTGAAAAAGTTTATTAGCAGCCTGTGAACTCTGCTGAGGCTGAAAATAAGCACTGATGATGGCATCCATCTACACAGTGTCTCTGACACCTTCCAGCAAAGCAGAGAGGCAGATGGTCAGATCTGTAAACAATGAATGATGTGTTTTACAGGGAAAGTGCATGTTTCAGTTGTGTCTGGTGGCAGTGAATATGCTTATTATTTAGTTTTAGTTTCATCAGTTAAGTAAGAGATAAACCATCTTGTTTATCAACAGGTTATCTCGTAGCCTCATCAAAATAGGGAAGTATTCCCTCTTAGAAATTTTCTTGAAGTAAGAAGATACACTAAAATAATTTGAGAACTGTATTATCTGAAAGATTTTCTGTTCTCTGAAAGGTTTGGTATAAGACTGTTTTAAATTTTTTCTCCCCTTAAATATTTGGTAGAATTCACCAGTTGCCTGGAATTTTCCTCTAGGAAGATTTCAAAAAAATATTCACATTTTTAAATCATTTTAAGACCATTAAAATTTTCCTTTTCCTGTTTTGATTCAGATAAGTTGTGGTTTTTCAGGAATTTGTTCAGTTCATGTAATCTTTTCAAATTTATTGGCCCCAGATTATTCATAAAACCCTCTTATGATCATTTTAGTGTTTATAGGCTATGTGGTGATATTCCCTTTTTTATCACTGATACTGATAAGTTCATGCTTTCTCTCGTCAGTCTTTATTCTTGAGCAGTACTGAACCACCTTCCTGCTCTGTTTTCCTGTCAGCTCACCTGGCAAACTCAGGCAGCTTTCCTCTGAGATCCCATTCTGAAGGTCCCTAGGAGAGTCTTGTTACCTTCCCCTGTGCTGGCATAATGTGCTAGGTGGACCTATTGGCTGCACTCAGTGCAGTCTCTTAAAAGCTATCTGTGGGTCAAAGATTCTATAGGGTAGACTTGACTCATAGACTATCAGTTTGCCAGATCGTAACTCCTATTTTTACGTATCTTAGGATATCTAAATTTGATTACTTACATATAAATTTTTTTCTCCAATTTTATCATCTAAAATATTTTGTTAATTTTTTCCCCAAAATCTCTAGGTCAAAAGGTAGAAAATATACAGACTTTGAGTTCTGCAGAGTCCAAGCCTATTCAAGAAAATAAAGGATATGTGAAGAAGGAACATGAAGGAATAACAGTAAGATATTTTCAAACTATATCAGTTTGTAATTAAAAATAAACATATAAATTATTGGCATAATAAATACGCTTATTAGTGGCAGTTCTTTTAAAACATTTCTCCATTTAGATGTGTAATTGCCCTGAACAACCCTGAGAGCTCTTAAAGGCTTTCTTACTTTCTGTGTAAAATTATAGTCACACTACAAAAATAGAAAAAAAAATTAGCATGAAAATGGAATTTACCTTCTGGTCTGTACCTGGCATTCTATATTTTTAAGCAGGTATCCATGCCTGTCAGACGTATATTCAGATTCCCTGTTCCTGAAACTGCTTTAGGTAGCATGTTCCACCTGACATGAGTTGCTAGATAAGTGATTTTTTTTTTTGCAAAGATCAGTTATGATTTCTTTTTTAGAAAAATGTAAAATAGCATTTATCTCTTTAGACCGAATATAAAGTATAAAGAAGAAAAACTAAAAAGTAGCCCACATTTCATGCATGCACGTGACTCCTGCTTAGTCATTCTTTAAAAATATGTAGATATATATTTATAGAAAACTCAAACATAACAGAAAGGTGCACAATAAACAGAGAAAAATCTCTCTCTAGTCCTCCCTGCCTAGAAGATAACCAGTGTTAAAATTTTCTGTCTTTATTTTTAAAGGGCATGTATCTTTTTATATATGTGTATTTATACTTGTATATATATCATATATACATAAACATGCATATGTTTATGTATACTTATATACTAATAAATATATGTTCTGTATATACCTGCATGTGTATTTTGACAATATATGTATATTTCATACATATATGTATGTTTCAAAATCAAATAAATACCTATATGCCCACCACCCAGTTTAAGAACTAGAATTTTTCCAGTGCTGTTGCTTTGGCCTATATATGTTCCTTTCTTGTCCCCTCAGAGAATGTTATATTGGCTTTGTGTTTATCATGTCCTTGCTTTGCTCTATAGTTTTGTTCTATATGTATGTATTTCCACATTATATTCTTTAGTGTTCCTTATTTATAAACTTTATTAAGTGATTTTATTGCTTTTGTTCACTCACATATTTCTAAGATTTATCAACACTGTGGCGTGTAGCCTAAGTTTTCTCTACCATATGACACTCCATTGTGAATATGTCACAACTTATTTTTCCATTCTCTTGTTGATGGATAGTTAGATTCTTTCATCTTTTTTTTATTAATGAAAAATGTGGCTATGTGCACTCTTGTATATGTTTCAAGATCTACATGTTTGAGATTTTTCTTTATGGTGACTATCTAGGCATGGGATTAATGAGACATAAAGTAGAAGAATATTCTTTACAAGAGACTGTATGTTTTCCAAAGTGATTACACCACTTATATTTCTGCCAACAATGTGTTGAGTTCCCATTCATCCACATTTTTGTCAATACTTGCTATTGTCAGATTGTGAGTTAGGTGGATGAAAATGGGAATTCATTTTATTTTGCATTTTTCAGATTACTAATAAAGTTTAAAATATTTCCACATGTTGATTGACCATGTGTGTTTCATGTGACGTCTTTGACATTTTCCTATTGATTTTTTTTTCTTTTTCTCTCTTATTTGTACTAATTCTTTATATAGTCTGAAGAGTAATCCTATTTTGGTTATGTTTCTAGAAAATATTTTTTTCCAGTGTGTGGTTTATATTTTCACTCTCTCAATGGTGTCTTGATGAACAGAAGTTCTTAATTTTGGTATTTTTGATTATTAATTATATTTATAGTTAGGTTTATGAAATATTAAAATGCCAACTCTACAAGGATAAGAATATTTAAGTGTTTCAGTTTTGCTGTACACATTTAAGTCTTTTATCTATCTTGAATTGATTCTTATTTATGGAGGTAGGGATCTAATTTTATTTTATTTTTTCCCACATGGATAACCACTTGTCCTTGGTCCCATTTATTGAATTCATCTTTCCTTCATTGATCTGAAATGATACCTCTCTCTCATATATACTTATCTTGACTGATTGGTAACTTTGTTTTTGGCCAGTAGTACAACATCTTAATTAATTACTGTAGTTCCTCCACTTCTTTATCCCTTCCCCCCACCTTCTATTGGAAGCTATTTTTTTGCTATCTTTTGTCTTTCATTGTTGTTTTTGAGAGTTCTGTCCATTCTGTTTAGTTGTCATTCCTTGCTGTTCTTTGTCCTTGCCCTTCAGTTTTCTTGCATTATATTTAGGTGCATTTTCTTTTGGTTTATACATTTGTCCTTTTTTGTATACGCTATGTGCCATGCATCTTGTTCTTCCATTGTTTCTGGAAAATTCTTGGCAGTCATTTCTTCAAATATTGCCTCTTGTTTGTTCTTTCAGCTCTTTTTTTCTGGAATTTTGAGTAGAAATATATTTAGACTTTCTCATTCTGTCTTCCACGTTCTTATGTCTCTTTTCACATTTGCCACTCTTCTTGACCCTCTGGTACATTCTGGGTGATTCATTAGATCTGTTTTTCAGATCTTTGTTTTTTCATATGGAGTTGGCTATGTAATACTTCCACTGAATTTTTTAGTTCAACAATGATTAACTTTTGCTTCTGAAAGTTCAGGTTAATTCTTTTCAAACATTCTTGTAATTTCTAATAATTTCTTGTTGCTTGCTCATTTTTGTGATTGCTCATTTTTGTGATTTCTATCTTTTATGTCTTTAAAATAGTCACAAATTACAATTCTAAATTCTTTTTCTGATTGTCTGAAGTCCTTGCGGGGAGGGGCGGGTAGGAGTGGGGTCTAAATCTAGTATTTGTTGTTTCTGAGACTCTTGTACGTGATGATTTATTTCCTTGGGTATTCAGTGATCTTTGATTATGAGTTCCTAGCTGATGGATCTTAATCTACAGGAAATCTGGATGTCTGAAGTGATGGAGTTTCACCAGGACAATGTGCATTTGTTTCTTCCAAGAGCCAATGAGTGCTCCTTTAATCCTGGAATCTCAGTCCTTTTGCCACTGGCAGTGGCAATAGTAGATTTACCCTTATGGCAGCCCTGTTTTCACTGCTCTGGTTTCTACTCACTTTGTGGGGGGAGTATGGATCACTGGGAGATTTATTCTACTTCCCTGTGAGCCTGAAATTCTTACATAAAATCTATTTCTATAGCTGGAGGAAATTCCAAACATCTTTCATATAGTCAGAACCACCCACATTCTACTTTTTAGTTGAGGAAAGATCCTGGGTATATTTCTGTTATCACATTAGGTATATATCATCCTTCTTTAAGGCTGGGTAGTATTTTTTTTCATGTACTGTTAGTCTTCTAGATATTTCATCCATGACCTACTTCTGTGCTTTAGCTTAATAATTGTCCTGTCTTTTAATTGTATATCTCAGCCCCTCCTTTTCATTTGTTTGCTTGTTTAATATTTTTCCCTTTAGTTGGCTCATTGAACCCTAGGTTTCTTACACACTTTGCACTGGAGGACCTTAAATTCACATCTTCATTCTTGACTTAATCCTCTATTTCACTCCTAGATTTTTATTGCCCACTTACGGTATATTTGCTTTGGATATTTAGCCTAAATATGAAAATTAAAACATCAGAAATCTTCTCAAGTTCCTTTATCCTTATGCTTCCTTCTTTCCTCCCTCCCTCCCTCCCTTCCTTCCTTCATCACCATCATTCCTATGGTTCCCTAGGTTCATATCCTTTTGTGATTTAATTTTCCTCCACTCCCATATACGGGTCTCGTATAAACTCTTGTCTGTCATTCTACAGCATTTTCTTATTTATCTTTTCTTCTCCTTTTCCACCATCAAAAGCCTTATCATCTCATTCCTTATTCAGTCTAACAGTTCATAGCGGTTTTCTTCTTAATTTTAATATATCCCACAGATGACTACTAGACTTATCTTTCTAGTTGAATTTTTAATCACAGTAAACTATTATCTGGAACATACAGTTGCTTGTGTTGTCAATATTGGGTTGAAATTTGTAAGCCTGATGTTGAAGGCCCACTGGCAGCTACCTCTTTTAGAAGGTGGTCTGCGTTTTCTTCTTAACATTTTCCTTCTTCGCCTGACTGCCTTGCATGGCCTGCTATAATCAGCTTCTTTTCCTGCACATAGAACTTGCTGATTACCACTCAGTGCTTCCTGCCTTGAATCCCCTCCTGCCTTCTCTCTACTACTTCATGTCTGTTGCCTTCTTGAACAGCTGTCCTGTAACTGTGAGCCGATTAAGGTAACACTTTACTCTGCATACCTTTTAGAGAGAGTTTGCTTGCACATTTTGCTTATGTACACTGTGATCATTATGTGTAATGTGTATGTTTTGTCTCTCCAAGCAAGTTATAAATTTTAGAGGATGCAGATTGCCTCCAAATCTTTTAGTCGTCTCTATTTAACACAAGGTTTAGGTGTTGAGGCGGTGCTCAGGAAAGTCTGTTGCATATTTCACAAAGAGACACTGAGTGACTTTTAGATGCCTAGATAGAATTTACACATTCCCTGCTTGCACACTCACCATTCCTGGGTAACTTAGGCCCTCTGCAAATTGGCTTCATTATGTATGTGTGCTCAAGCAGAAGTACAAATAAAACTTTAAAAATAAATTATTTCCATATAATTTGGCATCCCTTCTCGGTAGATCAATTTAATTGGATGTCACTTGACAAAGAAGAAGCCAAAAATTTCAGATCTTGAGTAATTTTATAATTCAATTGTAGTAATTTGTGAACACATATCCTTCAAGTGGAAAACATCATTCAGTTTTTTGTTGCTGTTATTATTGTTTGTTTCTTTTTCTTTATAAATGTGGACTAGAAACTTAGTCTTGTAAAAATTAGAACTTTCCTGTAACAAATGCAATATTTCTTTTTGTCTGAAGATCTTAGTCAGAAGAAGCAGCAGCCCTGCTGAATTGGATTTAAAAGATGATTTGCAGCAGACACAAGGAAAATGTAAGGAAAGACAGAAGAGTAAGTTCCAGGAAATGTGGTCTGTGTTCGTCCCACTTAAGAGTGGATCTATTTTGTTCTCTTATAACTTGTATCTTATCCTCTGAAGAGTCACAGTTGTGAATTGGGACATTTTTATTCCTGGAATCCCAGGATTGATGGGTGGTTAGTCGACACATACAGTAAACCAGGTCCAGTCCATTATGTGTGCCTTAGAGGCCTGTCCTTCCACCCCAGGTCTTTCTCCAGGTAAGAGGCACAACCAAGGTCAATGGCTGGGTGAGCAAACAAACCCAGAAGGAAAACTGGTCTTCTCCAGAAAGTTCCCACAGGCTAGGAACAAAAAGCTTCAGAAGCACATTGAAATCAATGGTATAAGTATTTGAAATTTGATTCAAATCCTTGGATATATTATATATTGTAATCTGTGGCCCTAATACTTTGCTTCCATGAAGTCAGGTACCTGGCCGTGCCCTTCTCAGATTGCATAACAGGCAGTTCCTGCAAATCGAGGCTGGTTTTGGTAGAGGCAGAGGAGCTCCTCTTAGGCTCCACCTTCAGATCCTGTGGGCTTGGAGTTCTGTGGCAGATGAACTTAGGGACCTAACAGGTTGGTTTCTGGGGCAACTTTCAGTTTATCTGGTGGCTGGGACAACTTGTAGTTCTTGGCAAGTGAAGGAAGGACAACAAATCCCAAGCAACAAGGCTGAGGGATGGTCAGCAAATACAAAGAACAGACAGAAGAGTAGGCAGACAGGAAGGGTAGACACATAAAACTGTTATGAAGTAGACAGGAGACTTGGAGGAGTAGACTGTCTAGGTCTGTTTTGTGTCAGACTAAATAGCTCTATATGGCTTAATAGCCTTTGAAAGCATCATTGTATGATGACAAATTAGAACTTTTTAGTGTTTAAAGGGGAGAAAATTTCTTTTGGAGAAAATCTTTTGCAGTTGGACACTTCATCCCTCAGTGAGTGTGGGTGATTGACTCTGGGTTTAGGACTAAATATTGAGCTCAATGTATAAAGCATCCTTAGACTCTTACAGCTAGGAGAATAATCTTGCATTCATGGTGAAATGAATTCCCACCTTCTTCCTCCACTCACTCCTATTTTGTAGCTGTGTATATTGCAATAGAAAGCTTAAGGACCTGATATAATCTTTTGGGTACATGGGATAACTGAATTAAAGACTTCCTTGAAAAGAATGTCACTTCATGTGACATGTTACATTCATGGAGCTTGTAATGACTATCAATGCCCTGTACCTGGGAGGTTTGTTTTGTTGGCAAAGATCCCTACAGAGTCACCTTTTGAGCCCTTATCCCCTGAAAGATTCCTGCTGCGTCAACTGTTTAGTTACTTGCATGTTAGTAATCGGGAGCATTCTGATTTCCAGCAATTTGTTATTTCAGACTTCGGTTCTTCTGTTGTGCCAGGTGAAAGTGTCAGCAGTGACACAGCTCTGGGCTATAACAATGAGGCAGAGCTGTCCATGAGCCCATGGCCAACCTGTGACGAGGACCCGGAACTGAGCACTCCCACAGATGTTGTGACTGACTCTGATGCCCGCCACTGGTTACAACTGAGTCCCACTGATGCTTCAAACTTAACAGGTAACTGCATGTTTGAAAGGCATCAGTGTTACCAATTGGGAATCCCAGAGTTTCCCAGTAGCAAGAATTCTAGGGATCCTTTAGCACAATGATGATGGGGTGCTACCTCCAACCAAATTGGTGTAGTAGCCCCAACCACCTGTTCCTAATCAGTCATGAATTCTCAGAGTCCTATGTGGACCTCTCCACATTCTAAGACATTGGCCAGATAAGGGAGGGAGCAAGCCATGTCGAACCACTGTCCATCATGAGAGGAAGTGGTGATATTCATGCCAAGCCTTTGCCATCCCTGACTGCATTTGCTTTACTCTGGAAACAGAGAAGAGTAATTTATCCAACTCACATGTATCATAAATACAGAATAAGTTAAAGAGTTTGAATAGCTTATTGATTAATATTTTCTTTAAGTTTTACAATAAAATATTTGACATATAAGATAAGCTGCGACATATTTGTAAGTTATGGCCCATAGTACTAAAATGATCACCAGTGAATCTACTACCCAACTTAAGAAATAGAATGGCTCCCACACCAGTGAAGTTCCCTATAGGCCTTTCTCAAGTCACTTCCCTTCTCTCATCAGCCTGTCAGCCTATCCCCAATTTTTTCAGTAATAATTTCCTAGATTTCTTTATAGTTTTGCCACATGTATCTGTGTCCTCAAATAATGTACCATTTAATTTAAATTTTAAGACTTTAAAAAATGATATCATAATCTGTATTTTTTGCTACTTTTTCCCCCAGAGTATTATATTTTTAAGATTCATGAATGGACTACAGAGGCAAACTTTCTGGTCTGCATCCAGGTTCTGCCAAGGAATTTCTGTGTGGCCTTGAGAAAGTTAACCTCTCTGTCAATTTCTTTTTTGTAAAATGTGGGTAGTAATAGTCCCAGTATAGGGTTGTTGGAGGAATAAATGTGTGAACACGTAAGTCAGGTGCACAGAACAGTGCATATGGAAGTACTCTGCAGTTTTAGCTATACACATGCACATACACACACACACACACTCACACAAAGTCCTTCCTGGTCCACCATATTCATGCTTATGGGCAGATATCTCTTAGGAAAACAACAACAAACTAGAAAGCACAAATTGAGTAAAAAGTATTATTAAAATGTTAAAAATCATTATTTTTTGTTTTATTTTATTTTAAGAGAGAGAGAGAGAGAGCACATGCACATACGAGGTGGGGAGGAGAAGTGAAAGGGAGAGAGAGAATCCCAAGCAGCTCTGTGCTATCAGCATGATGATGGGCTTGATCCCAGGAACCATGAGATCATGACCTGAGTTGAAATCAAGAGTCAGCCACTTAACTGACCGAGCCACCCAGGTGCCCTGAAAATGCTAAAAATCATTTATTAATGATAAATAAAGGCTTAAATTTTACCTTAGTTTTTTTTAACCAAGCAAACTTTGGTTTTCATTAATTATGATATAAGATTTAATGAATCTCTAATGATTTTGGAAATTGCTGATGGAGTTACATCAAAACTTCTTAAAATTTGCATAGAAAAATGGTGTTGAATAAAATCTTTTATCTATGAGAGAGGTAAGACTAAGAAGTAAGAACTTAATGTGTATTTAATGTGTGTATTTTAATTTAGATTCGTGAACAAAGAAAAACAAACCATTTAGCTATAAGTGAATAATGCATTGCCTTATAATCCTCAGTGCTGTCCTTAAAAGACAGGAAACATCTTTGATCTATGTATTCAAATCTGCCAGTGGTTAGAATAGCCTTGCAGAGTCAGTGAGAAAATGATTGGCAAAATCATGTGTTTAGTTTCATAAATTATTGGGTAGCAATTTGTGCTTCTCAAATTTTTGATTGTTTTAAAAATGATTTACAATTCTTTATATATATAATGACATAGAGATACATGTAATGATTTTAAATAATAATACCTTAAATTTATAAAGTATTTAACAGTTTACAAAGAATTTTGAGGCATCCTTTTTGATTCTTTATTGTAAGCAGGCCAAGTCTTCTCAATTCTGTTTTAGAAATGGAGAAACTGAGACTCAGAGAAAATATATTGTCTAGCTAAACTAATTACCACAGCTGGAACTGGCTTCCAAAATGTTTTGCATTTAGGGCAGTGCTGTCTACTCCTCTCTACTGCATTGCTGTTAAAATTACAATTGCAACACCCTTTAAACTATTTGAGAATTATTTATGCATGTGTGGAATAAATGGTTTCTTTGGGTCCAATATACAGATTATTCAAGGGAAATCATCAGCGTGGTACTGTCAAAGGTAATAGTAAATTTTCAGTAAGTTGAATTTATTAAAACAAGAACTAGTTTTAATTATTTTTATTGAAAAGAAAGAAAATTGGGTGCTTACTTCTTTTGTCTGTCCTTTGGAAAGATTAGTTTTGATCCTACTTCAGAGTATTCATGGGACAGGTCAATTTAATAAACTTGTGTGAGGTAATTTCATATGATGCACTCTATGTTGTGATTAACTCCTCCAAATACTTAGTTCTTCTTTGAAATACTAATATAGAGAATCGGTACACTCAGTTCAATAGTTCATCTTGTCATCTGTGAAAAGGACAAACTGTAATATGATAAGGTTTAAGGATTATCACAGCTCTGAATTTAACTTTCTGTTCTTAAGAGAACAATTTCTTCATAAATGTACAAAATAAAATTCATGTTAGCCTGATCTTCAGGACATGCAGAGAATGATCAAACAATTTGAGTGTATCTTTGTTTCTTGTTGAATAATCCTACCAATTACCAAATGTTTAGGATAACAAACTGCTTCTAAAACCTTGAACTCCATCACTAGCAGGTTAACAATTTTATATTTCTTTTCTCATTTACATTATTACACATTTGCTGAAAATAACAGCTAAATTTATTGTTCATTGAAAATGATTGTTGTGAAAGAAGTTATTTATATTCACAGGTTCCTAGAAATAGGGCTATGGCATGACATGTGGGCGCATCCAAACTACCATGGGATTGGTTGCTTACCTTCTAAAATCTTTAAAATGAATAATGTATGTCCGTAAAGCAGATGAGGAAGAAGAGGGGAGTCAGGCCATAGTGATGGTCAACTGAATGCCAACCGGCTACTTCTCTACTTTTGATCATCAGAATCCAGGCCTGATTTTTCTGGTTTCAGAATGAAGGTGTTTCAGTTGAGCCTTCGGGTTTTAGCCTTTTGTTTAGTTTTCAAATTGAAAGGGAAATTTATTTCCAAAGCGCCAGCAATGTTTCGTCAACATTCTACCAAGTCTACATAAAATTGCAGCCATGTGAAATCTCCATCTGGTCATAAGTGCCTGTTTTACCAATTACCAAGACATTTCATGACTAAAATCCTTTGCGTATTTGAACAGTTCTATACTTTAGATTTCTCTGTTAAAATCATGTGTGTTTGGAGAAAAATTATGATTTTATTGGTTTGCAAGACTTTCTACTTCAATAAAATGTTTTAAATGCCTTGTAGCATTTAGTAATAATGAAACAGAAAGATACTAGGCTAGTATACTAGCTTGCTCATGAAAAAGAAAATAAACTAAGTACTTGGTATTATTAGGGTGGCATGAAATTTTCTGAAATCTCTCAAATCCCCATTTTTAATTAAGTGCTGCTTCACTGAGGAACCATCTACATGTAAAATGTCAGCATCTGTTCTGTTACTTATGCCATGAGTGGAAGTAATTTTGGGCAAAAACATTTCAATTCATTTAAAAAAGTGACAATAATATTGAGCATGCAGTCCTTTCGTATACTTCTAAAGGATTCAACATAACTTGATAATGTGATAAGGGGTGTTTCCTAGGATTTTTATCATTGAGGCCTAAATTTTTCTGAGAGCAAAGCAGTATTAAAACAGACGTTCTACATGGGATTCTTTCATAACTGAGAATCTATTAGTTGGCTGGTAGCAGGGAGGTACAGGTGACAAGGTACCTGGCCTACATTTCCTTGGAGTTGTTACTCAGCCAGAGTTCCAGTGTGATTGGAATGCTGGGAGCTGATCTCTCTTTGGATGGCTGCATTTTGGGTGGTGGTAGAGGATGAGACAAAGCTCGTAAATCATCTACCTAATCCCCTTACCTTTTTTTTTTAATCCTCAAAGGATTAAAGGCATCATGACATTCTTTATGAGAAACATAAATGCCATATTATTTGTTCACTTGGGGGATTATATTGATTTGTAAGTACTCATTAAGCCTTCAACATAACTTCTCAGACTGACAGATGTACTTATTTTACTGATTAAACATTAGAAAGGTGAGTGTCTCTTCTGAGGTTTTGTAAACGTTCGAGAACCTAGAAGGTCTGTCATTAGGCTTTTGCTATCTCTGCTTTCTTTCAGGTACAGTATGTAGGAATTCCAGCTTGGACTATATCTGCTCATTATAATGTCTCTCTTTAACTGATTATATGATTCCTCTGTAAGAAATACAGATGTGTTTTTCTTTAAGAAGGAACAGTGCTTCTGTGTTTTGGAAGGCCCTTCCATGACACTATGTGCCATCATTATTAAATCCTTTGTTTCAGTGTCTTGGGATCGTTCCATAACTAATATAATAAGCTCTCAGCAGCTGTCATGGGTGCAGTGTTGGAAGGATACAGAACTGTTCTTGGATCTGCCCCGGCTCCTTGTCAGGTTCACTCCTCCTTGCTCCTTTTGGCCAGCTTGTCATTTCTCTACTTGAGTTCCTTACATCCATATATTGTACTTCCATTTCTTTGATTAGGCCTTAAAACACCAGCAACATATATACTCAAAATGACACCCAGTGGGGGGTTAATTGCCTAGAAATCAGTCTGTCTTCATTTGTGTGGGGTAAGCAGTAGAACTTGGGGATGATTGTGTTAATGAAAAGTGTAATAAGACAATAGAAAAAGAGGATTAGTGGTGGAGGCAAGACACAGCTCTTAAAACTCCCTCCAAAGGTTCAAAAGCAAAGCAAAGCAGGGCTCCTGGCTGACTCTTATCTCAGGGTTGTGAGTTCCAGCCCCACACCGGGTGTAGAGATTGCTTAAACAAACAAGAAAACTTAAAAAAAAAAAAAGAAGAAGAAGCAAAGCAAAAGCAACTTCAACAGGAAGCTGAAAGTAAGATATTAGAAATAGAATCAAATCAGCAACTACAATAAATATAAACCATATAAACTTGCAGTTGAAATCAGAAACTCATGGAATCAGAAATCTCTTTTACATTGAAGAACTAAAGCCGAGCCATATGATGTTTACCAGAAGTAACCCTAATTGTGTTCAGGAAGACCATAAGTAAGTACATACATTGGTAGCTGGGAAGAAAGATCACTGAGCTAAACTAAATATATGTCAGTTACATAAACATTAAAGCAGAAATCACTTATTAGTGACAGTAATAGCTCTGAATTTATATGAACTTCATAGCCTCCAGATATATGAAGCAAAATTTGACAGAATTACAAGGAACTACTAATAAAACCATAATCGTAGTGGGAAATTTTAATGTGAGTTCTTATTAATTGATCAGTCAAGCAGAAAAATATTGTAATAGAGAAGATGTACACAATACAATTTATCCTGATTGAATGGATATATATAAAAAACTTTGAACTTCAAAATACGTGTGATTTTTAAAAGCACATGGAGCATTTACAGAAATTGACCAATTAGATCATTAAGTCTCAACACATGTCCATACTTTGAAACTATACCACATCCTGTGAATATGATGAAATAAAGAACAAAATTAAGAGACTAAAAACTGCACCCCAAATAAATTAAGTCCAAAAGAAACTGTGAATTAGAAAATACCTCAAACAGAACTACAGTGAAAGTTACATACCACAATGTCTAGATTGTAACTGAAGAGTTATATGGAGGAAAATCTATGGCCTTAGGTGTGTATATTAGAAGAGAAAATTATTGGGGTGCCTGAGTGACTCAGTCAGTTAAGTGTGTCCGACTCCTGATTTTGGCTCAGGTCATGATCTCATAGGTTTGTGGAATCAAACACTGACAGCATGGAGCCTCCTTAGGATTCTCTCCCTCTCTCTCTCTGCCCCTCCCCTGCTCATGTGTTCTCTCTCTCTCTCTCTCTCTCTCTCTCTCTCTCTCTCAAAAGAAAAAAAAAAGAAAATTATTGATCTATGTGCTCTATTCAAAAAATTAGGAAAAAAATGGCAGAATAGTATATAGAAGTTAATAAAAATGAACTAAGAAAGTTAAGAGAATGCACATATATACTACAAAGCAGTGAAGATGATCAAAAACAACTCTTCAAAAGCATTAATAAAATAGACAAGTAGGCAGGATTAATTGAGGAAAAAATAATGAGGGTAAAAAGGAACAGAACTACAAAAACAATGTAAGCTTTAAAAAATAATACAGTAAGTTAATTTGAATAGATTTATAAAAAGAAAGGACAATTCCCAGTTTTACTGAAGCTTCAAATAAAAGAGAAGCTATCTTTTCCTGTTGCAGAGATTAGAAAGAAAGAAAGCTCCCAAAATTGTTATTTACCTTGTGACACCTTGACAGTAAAACCAGACAAAATGAGTATTGAAAAAGGAAAATTAGAGTCTGTCTCAGTTAAAAGCATATAAATGAAAATCCTATGGGGTACCTGGGTGGCTCAGTTGTTTAAGCATTTGACTCTTGGTTTTGGCTCAGGTCATGATCTCACAGTTCCTTAGCTCAAGCCCTGCGTCAGGCTCTGTGGTGACAGCTCAGAGCCTGGAGCCTGCGTTCGATTCTGTGTCTCCCTCCCTCTCTCTCTCTTTCCCTCTCTCTCTCTCTCTCTCTCTGCCCCTCCCCTGCTCATGCTCTGTCTCTCTCAAAAATGAATAAACTTAAAAAAATTATTAGAAAAAAAGAATATGGGATGAAGTAGAATGGAGCAGATCTTAAAAGGAGTCTGAAAAAAGTCTATTTAACCCATCCCCCCCAAACAGATTAAGAGTACACTTATCTTAATGAACACTGAGTAATGTATAGAATTCTTGAAATCATTATATTGTACACTTAAAACATATTAATATAACACTATAAATTTTTTTTACCTTAGAGTTAAAAAAAAAGCTTGGGAAGAAATAAAATTTTAAAAAGCTATTAATATCTTCATGAGGTAAGAATATACTGTATCCATGAAAGAAGGACCAAGAGTATAAAAATAGACTGAAAACAAGAAAGATCTTTTGGATATTGAAAATATGAACAGAGGGGCGCCTGGGTGGCTCAGTTGGTTGAGCATCTGACTCTTGATTTCGGCCCAGGTCATGATCTGAGAATCATGGGATCAAGCCCCACGTGAGGCTCTGTGCTGATAATGGAGCCTGCTTAAGATTTTCCCTCTCTTTCCTTCTACCCCTCTCCCCTGCTCATGCTCTAAATTAAAAATAAAATATAATAGAAATATGGCAGCAGAAATAAAATCAAATCAGTGGAAGTCAATACAATACCTGGATATTGTAGTCAAAAGGACCTAATGAATTGGCAAACACAGTGGCTGAAAATAGACCAGGTGACACCAGGAGGCTTCAGAACACTAGGTACAAAGAGGATACAAATTTTGCCAACTTAATAATTTTCCATAAAATAATTTCAAGCCTCAGAATACTGCTTGCTGACTTTAAAATCACAAAGGAGTGGCACCTGGGTGGCTCAGTCAGTTGGGCAACCAACTTCAGCTCAGGTCATGATCTCATGGTCTGTGGGTTTGGGCCCCACATTGGGCTCTGTGCTGACAGCTCAGAACTTGGAGCCTGCTTGAGATTCTGTGTCTCCCTCTCTCTCTGCCCCTCCCCTCTTGCTCTCTCTCTCTCTCTCTCTCTAAAATAAACAAACATTAAAAAAATTTAATAACAAAGGAAAGTAAAAGAAATTGAAGCAAAGCATTTCCATCACAGAATTCTATACCCAACCAAACTATGGACTACAAGTCAGGGAACAAACACTTAGAGATCTATAGGGACATGCCCCTTTCTCAAGCACCACTAGGAGATATGGCCCACTAAAAGGAAGAAATAAGCAAAGAAATACTGTCTGCCATTTTGTGATTCTGGTCTTACAAAATAGACTATAAACATACATTCACACAAACACTTATACACAAATGTTTATGGTAGCTTTATTATAATCATTGAAAACAGGAGGAAACTATCCAGATATCCTTCAATAGGTGAATGGATGAACAAACTATGGTATATTCATAAAATGGAAGATTAACCTGCAATAAGAAGCCCCCAAATGGATGAATCTCACATGCATTAAGCTAGGTGACGGCATCCACACCGCTACTCACACCACCCACTCACACCATTATCATACTGTAGGATTTATATGACATTCTAGAAAGGGCAAAACTCTAGGAAAAGAAAACAGCAGTGCTTGCGAGGGGCAAAGAATAAGGGGAGGGGACTCACTATAAAAGGGAACTTTTGGAGTGATGAGGCTGTTCCGTATCTTAATTTTCATGGCAGTTTTTGGTGACAGTTACATGGTTGTATATACTCCTTAAAACTCCTTGAGTCTAAAAAGGGTAAAATTTATTGTAAACAAATTATACCCCAATAAGCCTGAGTTAATAACAGCCATTACAAATATCACCCCAGCATTGAGGCTGTCCCTCGCCACCTACTTTTCATGGCCCTGTTCCCTACCAATCCTGCTCAGGGTTCTCCTCCTTCCCCTCCTCTGCTGTATAAAACCTTTCACACGATCTCCAGGAGCTTTTTTCTCATCTCTAGGTTGTTGCCCTTTTAGTTTGAAGAATGAAAAGTCACTTGACCTTTCTTTACTGATTCTGCTTTTCCATCCTTTGGAATCATCAGCCATTGCACACTTTTAATCTTTAATTATTTTACCCTGAATACGTAAATTGTCAAGCATCAGTGATTTGCACTGAAGAGAAAGGGCTGTAATGATGAAATCAAGATTGTGTTTACAGACATGTTTTCCTCCATAGATAGCAGTGAGTGCCTTGCAGATGACTGCAGTATAATTGCTGGAGGGAACCTTACCGGTTGGCACCCAGACTCTGCCGCTGTGTTATGGCGAAGAGTCCTGGGAATCCTCGGGGATGTGAATAATATCCAGTCCCCCAAGATTCATGCCAAAGTTTTTGGCCATCTCTATGAACTCTGGTACAAGCTAGCAAAGGTACGTCCTGCCACATTCCCTTTTGTTCTAAGAGGGGAAAATTGATTTATCATTTATCATTGATTTAACATCAAAACCCTGTTGGCAGTCAACTACTGAATGTAATCTGGAACATATATTCGGTGTTTAGACAAAGTTGTTTGATTGTCACAGAATAAATAATAAATAACTTGTAGTTTGGTCATTTCATAAATGCAGAAGAGCTATTTCATTTAATGCATATGTATGTAGAATATTACTGTAAGATATTAAGGGGTAGGGTATTGAGTAGTTTTTGTTATTTTCTTGATAAAAGTGATACCAGTTTTATTGTACAAGATTTAAAAAATGTAGAAAAGTATGAATAAGAAAATTTACATCACCATTCCACAGAGATAACCAGTATAAATATATAGTTTTATTTCTGTGGATGAACATATTTTTTACAAAAGTAGAATCTTAGAGTACATACAGTTTTCATTCTGGGTTTTGATTATAATCTATGCTTTCCCCAGGTTATTAAGTTTTTGGATTTTGTTCTTGTTTTTAGAAAATGTGATTCATATTTATACAGTATAACTTATTAGGCCATTCCTTATCATTTGGAGTTGAGGATGTTTTGAGGCATTAACACTCAAGGGAAAACAAAGCCCTAGTTTTGTATTAAATCTAAAACCATGTACAGTAAGTGAGACACATAATTTAAAATGGCAGTAGATCTCATGGTAGAAGAAAAACTTGTACATATTGTAGGTTTTCACTCAACATGTAGAAATTTAATGAGAAGTAGCTATTTGGCCATGGAACACAATATTGAAATATCATTGTGATAAACTATGTGTGGCCTTTCCTAAAATTCTCCTCTTTGTGAATTAGATACGGGATAATCTGGCAATAAGCCTGGATAACCAGTCTTCTCCGTCTCCACCGGTGCTGATCCCACCACTCAGAATGTTTGCATCATGGCTATTTAAGGCAAGTGGATATGTGTTTATTCCTTTATTGCAATTTCCTCTTCCTTTCTGAAATTGAGTTTAAAAAATGTAATTGGCCAAGACTGCACGTTTTGAAGACAAGCTGAATCTTACTAAAGCCACTAACTGCATCCTTCGTCTTCATAAACAACTCTTATGGAATACTGAGAAGTAAATGAAATGTCAAAATGCTCTGCATCTGGAGCTGATTAAATCTTTAAACCTCATCTCCTTGGCAGGCGACGACATTGCCAAACGAATATAAGGAAGGCAAACTGCAAGCCTACAGACTGATCTGCGCCATGATGACCAGACGCCAGGACGTTCTGCCAAACAGGGACTTCCTAGTGCATTTTTACCTTGTGATGCACCTGGGATTAACCAGTGAGGATCAGGTATTCTGTGACTCCCTTATCACGGTAGCCCACCAAGTGGAAAGTGCATATCGCTTTTTGCAGGTTAAATTAGGGTGCATGAAAAGACATCAAACATGTTGAAATTTTCAGTAGTTTCAGCTCTTCTACACAACAACCACATTGGTCTTTCAAAAACATAAATCAGATTCTGTCACATTCCTGTTTCTTCTCTCCACTGACTTTGCATTACACCAACCAAATTTGAACTTTATTCTGTGGCTTACATAGTGCTTTATGATTTAGCTTCAGCTTATGTTGTCAAATTCAAAAATGCTGTTTCAGCCACTTTTTGTTGGGGTTCTGCATTAGATATTATTTGAACAAAATCATTGTGATCATTTAAAAATGTTTGAAAACTATGATTTTAGTAGTTAGGATATTTTTGTAAAAGACCTCATGTGTAAATTAGGGGTCCTGACATTTCTTGATGAGGAGTCATTCTCATTTCTCCCAAAGGAATATGATTGGTGGGTTAAGTTGAAACAGAAAGGTCAGAGGAGTCAGTAGTGATAGCCACTTCTGGTAGATCCTGGATGTGCAGGGTAGGAAGGATATGGCTAGTCCCACGCCTCCCTACCCCTGCCCATGGGCAGAGGGCAAGGAGGGGGGCAGGAACACCCAGAGTCCTGGTTCTCTGCCTGAATGTCAAGCAAGGGAGTGATATGACTGGTTTGTACTTCACAGAGATTATTCTGGACTCCTTCCAAGGATTATTCTGGAATCCGAATGGATTTGAAAATGTAACAGTGGTAGTGTAGAGTGGGAGTTTGGGCCTGGAGACAGATTAATTAGGAAGTGGTCAAACGAATATAGAATTTAAAAATGATGAGCAGTAAGATGATGGCACTGGGAGCAGTATACTGGAAGAGGAGAGATTTAAGCAATTTCAAAGCATTGAATGTTATCACTAGGTCTTCTTGAGCAATAAGAGGTATAGAGAATGTTTCAGCACTTACCCTTGAAATTGTAGCTACTCATCACTGAACTTGAATCACTCGTGAGCTATAAGCAGTCATCCTTTGTGTTTCTGTTTTATTCTTTGAAAGTATAATACAGTCACACAGACCTTGATGATAAACTTGGGGTATGTGTTAAGAGGTCAGTCTCCTGAGTAGCCAGTTTTTCCTTGTTGCTTCAGAACGCATTTCTTGAAGCTTCTCGACCCTTTAGCCCATTTAAAACTCTCGCAATATATCCCTGATAACACCCTGGAGCTTTCATCATTGAGCTTTTATCTGAAGCAGTAACTGTACTGGCCTACTGGGTTGTCTTTGTCGTATCTGCCCCAGTTCCAACAATGCATGGAGGATATCCCTATATAATAGGCTGGACTTGCACCCACGGTCTCATTGATTTCCTAAATAAACGCAGAAATAGAGGTGCAAAAGTAGAGCCATTTGTGTCCTGTGCTCAGATATCTGTAGCCATCATTGCAGATGGAAGCATCTTTCACAGAATGACGTAGCTTCAGGTGGGTGGAAGATTTAGGTGTATAAATAAGGAAGAGAATTAACTCTCACGGATCATGACGAGATCCCTCAGTGACAGAAGAGACAAAAGCTTAGTTAACACAGTACTGTAAAGCAGTATTTTGCTAAGATTTTGCAGGGAGAAAAATTTACTTGGAAATAACAATCAACTGTAGAATTTTCTCAATTAATAAAAACAAATTAGAAGTCAGCAGCTAACACTGGGGTATTCCTGGAATGAGTTTTCTAGAAAGTAATATAAATGGATGTAAATTTAGGATCATCTTTCTATTTTAAAGTCTATCAGAGTGGAAATGAAACGATCAGTGAGAAGAAATAAGACTTTGAGAACTCAAAATATTATTTAAAAAATATGATTTTACAGGGTAGAAAAGGGAGTTTTCATATTTTATACTTAAAATCATTTTTCCATTTTAATATATGTCATGTTTTCAGTTGAGTTTGTTTTTTTTGTGGTTCATTGTAAAATACATAAGTCTTAAATGTTGGTCTGTTACTAAAAGTGATCGCAACATCCAGACTTGTAAGACAAAACAGGGATATCATAAATCTCTGTTTTATAATCAGCCTATTGTCTAGCCATTAGAGGCTTGAATTTTTATGTGTGCTTAATAGAAGTGGCTGTATTCTGCAGCCTTAACAATTATTAGTATATACTTGAGAAGCCCTGACTGTCTGCCAAAAGAATTACTTACTGTAAGTAAACCTTGTTCCTTTTCCAGAAGAAAATTGCACAGAAAACCTTCTAATGAAAGAAACTTTTCTCATTTAAGTAAGAAATGTCTCCGATAATTAGTTTAACTTTTGGTCCACATGCCTAAATGGATCATGGTGGTTGTTCCAGAACTTATATGTTCTTCTGGAAACACATATTACATTAATTATAAAAAAATAAGAAAGCACTTACTGTAGAGAATACAGTTAAATTCAGTTTTTTAATCCGTGAACTGTGCACCTGTGACTAGTACCATTTCCTTCTTATGAGAGTTCTCAAAAAGTCACTAGCCCGGTGCTAAAAGACTTTGTTCCTGCAGAGAGAACCTTATAAAAATCTTCCTCATTTCTTAGTAAGGTAAGTAATAGCAAATAATTTAAAATGTTCTAACATTTATTAGTTTTATCTTAGAAAAAAATCCAAGGTGAATTTCCTTTCACCTCTGGGTGGCACACTTGCCTGCATAACTCACTGTGTGGCTCACCCTCCACCACTGGCCTTTGAAATGGCCCCAAGGCCCATGGCCCTGAGAGCATGATTGTGTGGCATAGTCATTTTACAAATGCTTCCCTAAATATGAGAGTATCAAAATTATGTCAGCAGTGACTAAAAAAGTGTTGAAGTGGAAATAAGCTCTAAGATGTTAAAAATCTTTTATTTCCAGACCTATGGGTCCTTATAGTAATTGAAAACTTTTTTTTTTATTAAAGAAACCTATTTGTGGGACACCTGAGTGGCTCAGTCAGTTAAGCGTCTGACTTTAGCTCAGGTCATGATCTCACAGTTCATGAGTTTGAGCCCCATATCAGTCTCTGTGCTGACATCCCAGAGCTTGGAACTTGCTTCAGATTCTGTCTCCCCCTCTCTGCCCTTTCCCTGCTCACACTCTGTCTCTCTCTGTTTCTCAACAATAAATAAATGTTAAAAAAACATTTTTTAAAAACCTATTTGTAAAATAGATGTCTCACAGACTGTGTTCTATGATACAATCGTATAAAACCATGGTTACATTTAATATGGTGGCCAATTCATTATGAAAACAAATATAGTCATTTCTGTATTTAAAATATCAATAGTAATACATTTTGAACAGCCAAAATGCATCACATTACAAACCAACGTTTTTGTTTAGACCAGTTTTAGCTAGTCTATTAACTGAATAATTTAATAGCTAAAACAGTGACCTTATCAAGTAGTATTTTCCCAAGTTCATGTGTAGTCTGAGTTTATTAGTTTATTAGTATGATTGAAAAATCATATAGTTTTATTAGTATGATTGAAAAAATGCTTTGAAATAGCTGTACTTTTCCTCCACTCTGAATTAAAAAAAAAATTGATCCTGTTACTGGTTTAGAAAGAAAATAATTTGGATTGTAAGGACTTTCATGATATAACTATACATCATGAATAAAATTTGGGGTGACTTGTGGGACTGACTGCCCAGCCTTCCTGTGAAGGGTCTTCCACTTGGCTTCCTTCTGCCCAGCTCCTTTGTATCTGGTTGGCTGATGAGGGTAGAGGGTCTTTACTTCCCCGACTCCCACCGTGCCAGACTCTGTGCTGGCACCTGCGTGATGTTTTCCCACTGGTTTGTCTCTGCAATTCAGTTAGATAAATATCATAACACACTGTTTAAATAACAAAGGTTCAAAAAATATCAAGAACTTTTGCCCAATGCCACACACTAAAAAGGCTGTTAGAATTCACAGGAAAGGCATGGTTTATTCCACAGGGTATATCTTCCCCATTGATTCACAGCTAACAGGCCTGTCAGACAGTTGTTTGTTCTGTTCCTTCCTCCTTCTGTCTTGTTCTACCTGGACTCCAGCCTTGGTCCCCCCACCTCAGACTCCTCCTGACTAGAGCGCCCTCCCACCTCCAACCCGAGATAGGTTTCCACAGCTGCCTCCCCAGCTCCTCACCATCTTTCAACTGCTCTTCTAAAGCTGTTCCTCCTTGTTCTTAGTTTTTCCTAAAGCCTCAGCGGCTTTTTCACCTCAGTCTTCCCCAAAATATTTGGACATGAAAAGAGCTATGATTTAGATTTATTAAAAACAGTTCCTATTAATTTCATCGTTATTTAAAACATATGGAAAGATCAATATGTGTAAAATGGAAAGGGACAGTTGAGGAAAGGAATTTTATTTTCATGTTTCTAAGAACATATATCAAAGACTGGAACGTTTTCTTTGCTTAAAATAAGCAAACTATTTTTTAACAATGACTTACAGATTTAATGTCTTAATGTAATTTGTTACACATCAAAGTTAAATTCTCTTTTAAGTGCAAAGCCTACGTTAATGTAAAATTATTGCAAATTTGCATATAGAAATTTTGGAAAATATAGGTCTTTGTCATTTCCATCTATAATTTTGTATTAGCCTACTTTGTAATGCACAAAAAAGCATGGGGCCTGAGGTGGAAAAATGTGTATTGTTCAGCCCTGAGGTAACCATCTAGTGACAAATTTGAATTGTAACAGGATAAAGTCATGATTTAGTGTAATATAGTATGATATAGTGTAATAGTTAAGAGCATGGGCTTCAAGACAACCTGTCTGAGCTCCAGCCTTGGCTATACCTTGTCATTTGACTTCCCTATGCCTTTCTCCCCTAATATGTAAAATGCAGGTAATTGTGGTGCTTACCATAAGGGTTATTTGAAGACTTTGTGGAGCTAAAATATATAACGTACTCAATTCAGAGCCTGGACAAAACAGCCCTCAGTAAACATGAGCCCTTGTAATGATACTGAAGAGTATGAGGAAAAGAACA